TCTATTGGCAGAAATGCAATATAACAGTCACAGGTATGTTTTCATTAGAATATAATCACCTGAAAATAAGAATCGTTGCTGTTTTTACCTACAAAGGAAGTGGACCACCTACCATGGACTCAGCCATGTTTCTACAGCAGCCCAGAACAGACAAACGTGCTAAGAAGTGAAGGGTGAAGCGAGGGAGTTGCAATCTGCAACTTCACCACTAGATGACATAAATCATACACACTGGACCTTTAAATTTAAATTTACCACCAGCAGCCGGTTAGCTTAGCTTAGCAGAAAGACTGGAAACAGAGCAATGCCAGCTGTTTTCTTTTTTATGTTTTAAGTCTCTTTGCTAAGCTAACAGGCTGCTGCTGGCTTTATACTCACTGTACAGAGTGTGGTATCGATCTTCTCTACTGACTAAAACGTTACCCTCAGCATTAAAACTAAAGCAGAAGTTCAACGTTTTGTATTCTTGCCACGAGGTAGACTACCACTTACATGTCTGACCATCGATTATAAGGCTACAGCCAACAGAGAGTTAGTATATTTGCACAAAGTGGTGCACACAGAATATTTTAACTTTTGTCACATTTCTAGAAGTTGGAACAACCAGCAAAGGGTTGGCTGTGATTGTAATTCATAGTGATCCTAGTTTGATCACTGATTGACTATGAATACTTTTTATCTTCAACTGGGGTTCCGTCGTCTAATGTGCATCTATTGCACTTGACATGAAAAAGAACTGCTGGCATAATACAAAGACTGGAAACACAGAGAAAAAACCTGCCTGGCAGCACCTCAAACGCTCACTAATCAACAAGTTCTATCTGGTTTGTTTAATCCATACAAAAAACTAAGCATAAAAAAAAAAAGTTGTGGTTTTATGGGGTTTATTTCTATTTCTTGGCAGGATGCAGTGACTTCCTGGAGTGTTCTTAAAGATGTTCAGAAAAAGGAAAACCTTCTTCAGACACTTCAGGCAAAGGAAGTCGAAGGCAGGAAGTTCAAACCGATAAGCCTCACTAAAAACTAAACACTTTTAATAAAACGCCTCTCCTCATTCTCCCTAAAAACCTTTTTCTAGGGACAAGAATTGTGTCTGTGTGTGCTTCGTTGTGGCTGGGTAAGGTTTGTAGTGATTAATATGTCTCACTGATCTGGGGAGGAAGTCCTCCTCTGTCAGTCCCCATTGGCTTTTGTGGTACTGGTAATAGGCCACATTATTCTTCATAACCTCATCGCTGGGGTCAAAGAGCATGTAGCTGGCTGCACAAGGTACCGCGTTCTTCAGGTCCTTCACTGAAAACACAAAAATGACAGCACTTAATCCACAGATTTTCCTTAATAAGCGTTATAACCCAGTACATCTCCATTAAGTAACTCCAAAGGACAAGAGTGTTTTCAGTGGGTTTTAAGACTATAATAAAAAAAGTATAACCTGCATGTAATGGGTGTCAGCAATAAGAACATGCTACTCACATTTGTAATAGGCGAATTGCAGGTAGTGGTACATGGTGGCCACAAACTTCTCAACCACAAAACCTCCTACGACAGGTGTCAGGTCACTTTCACACGTCACTTTCCTGTCAAGGACCTCTATGTAGTGATCTGTAGAGGAATAAAATCAAAGCTCTGCACTAGACTGCTTGAAGAGTTCAGAAAGATTCAAAATAAGATGATGAAAAAGGTTAAATTTAGCAATAACTAGAAATATGTTAGAGAGACTCAGAACTGAGGTTCTGCCAGCTGACCGGCTATGGAAGGGTAGAAGTCTTTAAAGTCTTTGATGTCCCTGGGGCCCTCAGACGCAGCCAGACACTCATCGTAGACCTTGAAGAAGTCCCGCAGAGCCAGCTCCATGTCTGACACCGAGGTACGGAAATTTTCTCCATTATATGCCCGCACTGCACGCACAAACAATGTCTGCAATGACACACATGAGAAATATATAATTCAGTTGTGTAATGTTCAGTTTGGGTGTGATTGCACTACGGAAGCATCCAATGAGGTTAACAACTACTTTCTTACTAAAGCCAATTATACTTTTAATGGTATATTTAAAGATCCAGTGTGTAACATTTAGGAGGATCTATTGACAGAAATGGAATATAAGTATGTTTTTATTCATGAATAATCACCTAAAAATAAGAATTGTTGTGTTTTTGTTATCTTAGAATGAGCTGCCTTTATCTACAGAGCAGGTCCTCTTCTACGGAGTCCGCCATGTTGAACCGCCATGTTTCTACAGTAGCCCAGAACAGACAAACCAAACACT